GTTAATATCTATGTGAGAGCTAATGTTGGACACAGCATGTGTGTTTTAAATAGCTTTCAACATATTTAAATATGATTGAGATGTGAAAATGAAACAACACTTTCAGGTCTTTCTCAAGAGATGAATTGCTATTTTTACCACAGCGTGTATTTCTGCTTCCCAGCTTCTTTAGAGCTTTCATTAAGAAAAGTGATAACTATAATAGAAACTTCTTCATCAATGAATTTTGCAGCAACTGCAGTTTTTTAAAGGCCCCTGCTGTTATTGTGGATTTTTTCTCCCTACACAGTCATGCAGGTGGAACATCTGATTGAGCCAAGACCTTTCTATAGGCTGGTAGTTATGGTCTAAAATAAGTCTGAAGGATTTAAACATTTTCAGAAACATTCTTGCAAACAGCTCCTTAAAGTAGCTGTTTTTAACAAAAAAAAAGTCTAACTCATTTGAAGTTTCAGCACTTCTGTAATTTATTCGCTAGTAAATGCTATATTAAATTAATCTGTTTGATTTACATTAGACTTGTATGTACAGCCAAAACTTATTTTTTAATTTAGTTTTAGATGGATTAAGAAAGGATTAGAATCCTTCCCTTCAACACACTTTAAAAAATATATACATAACCCACATATACAGTGGGGATCGAAAGTTTGGGCACCCCAGCTAAAAATTTGTATTAATGTGTATAAAGAAGCCAAGGAAAGATGGAAAAATCTCCAAAAGGCATCAAATTACAGATTAGACATTCTTATAATATGTCAACAAAAGTTAGATTTTATTTCCATCATTTACACTTTCAAAATAACAGAAAACAAAAAAAATGGCGTCTGCAAAAGTTTGGGCACCCTGCAGAGTTAATATCTTGTACTGCCCCTTTGGCAAGTATCACAGCTTGTAAACGCTTTTTGTAGCCAGCCAAGATTCTTTCAATTCTTGTTTGAGGTATCTTTGCCCATTCTTCCTTACAAAAGTCTTCCAGTTCTTTGAGATTTCTGGGCTGTCTGTCACGCACTGCTCTTTTATGATCTATCCATAGATTTTCAATTATGTTGAGGTCAGGAGATTGTGAAGGCCATGGCAAAACCTTCATTTTACGCCTCTTGATGTAATCCCCTGTGGATTTTGAGGTGTGTTTAGGATCATTATCCATTTGTAGAAGCCATCCTCTCTTTAACTTCAGCTTTTTCACAGATGGCATCAAGTTACCATCCAAAATTTGCTGAAATTTTATTTTCCTTCTACTCGTGAGATGTTCCCTGTGCCACTGGCTGCAACACAACCCCAAAACATGATTGATCCAACCCCATGCTTAACAGTTGGACAAAGGTTCTTTTCATTAAATTCTGTGCCCCTTCTTCTCCAAATGTACCTTTGCTCATTCCGGCCAAAAAGTTCAATTTTAACCTCATCGGTCCACAGAACTTTTTTCCAAAATGCATCAGGCTTGTCTATATGTTCATTTGCAAACGATGATTTTTGTGGTGAGGCCGTAGAAGAGGTTTTCTTCTGATGACTCTTCCATGAAGACCATATTTGTACAAGTATCTCTTTATAGTGGAATAGTGTACCACAACTCCAGTGTCTGCCAGATCTTTCTGGAGGGATCGTGCAGTCAAACGTGGGTTTTGAATTGTTTTTCTCACAATCCTGCGAGCTGTTCTGTCTGATATTTTTATTGGTCTTCCAGATCTTGCTTTAACTTCCACTGTTCCTGATGACTGCCATTTCTTAATTACATTCTGAACAGAGGATATTGACATCTGAAAACGCTTTGCTATCTTCTTATAGCCTTCTCCAGCTTTGTGAGCATCAACTATTTTCAGTTTCAGTTTTCTAGACAACTGCTTAAAAGAACCCATGGTGCTGATTGTTGGGGCAAGGTCAGATTAGTCTGGGCATTTAAAACCTTTGAGATTGACATCACCTGGTCTTCCCAGACGATGATTGAGAACAATCCATGACACTGGCAGGTCTCAGCTTTGCAAAGGGGGCAGTGCATGCTATAAATTCTGCAGGGTGCCCAAACTTTTGCAGACGCCATTTTTTTGTTTTCTGTTATTTTGAAAGTGTAAATGGTGGAAATAAAATCTAACTTTTGTTGACATATTATAAGAATGTCTAATCTGTAATTTGATGCCTTTTGGAGATTTTTCCATCTTTCCTTGGCTTCTTTATGCACATTAATACAAATTTTTAGCTGGGGTGCCCAAACTTTCGATCCCCACTGTACATGGACATGAGCTTTAATATATATTACTTTAGGAAAGTGTAGTGCTCTGATTTAGCACAGTCATGTATGCCATTCAAATATGAAACATGAACCAATAACAGCATGGGTTGTCGCAGCCTGAGAAATAATTTTAAGGGAAAGTACAGTGTTTTTATTGATGCATAAAAACACATTTTAAAAAGTTTCATGTTTTAAATTTTTTCCTTTCTCATTTTCACAAGTTCACTAGGCTAATTTTAAATACCCTGCTGTTAAAAGCCAGGTATACTATGTACAGCTGAAAGAGACATATACAGTGTATAGTGGAACAATGTGAAACCCACTTTTACCCCAAATCATGAACAGAGTTTATGTTCTAAAGGGAAGCATTCCAGTGAAAAAATACAAAGTGTTCTGTCAATCGAGGTGGTGCTGAGTGAGCGAACTCCTGTGGTCAAAAAATAGCGGGGCAGCCAGTTGGCACAGGATTCCACAGTGGTCTCTCAGATTCTGGTTTAATATAACTTGTCTTGGAGCAGTTGGAGCCATTAGAGGATTATCTGTCATTTCTTTGGATATCCAAAGGAGGAGTTTATTCGTGCATTTCCCTTGATGTCATCAATGATATACCATAAAGTGCAGTCTGACCACTCTTAGCAGGGGGGCACATACCTTCTGATCAAATGGGATGACCTTCCATCTGCAAATGAAGTCAGTTAAAGCAATCTGACAAGATTATTTTACAGATTCCCAGGACCCATAGAGGGATCACTATACACCTAGTGAGCTGGCCTGCCTATCCCTTAATAAGGACGTCCGTTAGCCTTCCATTACACACCAGATGCTCCAGGACCCAGGCACACACAGTGAGGGGTTCCACTTCATTTCTGTCCAAACCTGGATGACCTTCGATGACATCAGGATATCCATATACAAATGCGCATTTTATTATGCGCTCTGGTGAGTGCGCATTCTTCTCATTTTTGACTGCACAAGCACCAAGTTCCAGTTGAACACAGGATTCTCGTTTACAGCACCAGTCACCTTATGAACTATTTTATACATTGATTTTATTATTATATTTATAGCGTTGCACTTTATTACTATTTGTCTGTTTGAGGTTTTATTGGTTACCTTAGTGCGCAGCAGCTTACAGTGTGCTCGCAATTTTTATATTTTTATGAAATGTAATATGTCACTGAAGATCACTTTTTTACATTCACACATGGACTTCTTTCCCGAAAATCTAGGAGCAGTCAGTGAAGAACATGGTGAAGGGTGAAAGTGCCTCAATGGAAAACCAGTACCAGGTCCAATGGAATCCATCAGTGCTAGCTGACTATTGTTGGACACTACAACGAGATGACACTGAGTACAAAAAAAAAAACATCAGCAAAATACTTTTAGCCCTGTAGAATAGAAAACTCATGCAAGTTGTCAGAAAAATTATGCAAATAAATACATTATAGTCATTAAAAGTTAATTTTATGTCTCTCAAGAATCTTATGTGGTGAAGTTATTCTGTGTTCAGTTTGAAGAGAACTTTTATAATTACCAGACTTTTTTTTCAGGAAGAAAAACATTTAAAAAAAATTATTGTTCTGTCACTATGGTTATTACAAATCAGGGGAAGAGCTAGGGCAGTGATGGCGAACCTTTTTGAGCCCGAGTGCCCAAACTGCAACCCAAAACCAACTTATTTCTTTCAAAGTGCCAACACTGCAATGAAACCTGAATATCGAGCTTTTGGTTTAGAAAAAACAACTCGTACAGTAGTGCAAACTAATTAACAGTACAGGGATGACCAGAGACTGCGGACAGTACAGGGATGACCAGAGACTGCGGACACAGTACAGGGATGACCAGAGACTGCAGACACAGTACAGGGATGACCAGAGACTGCATACACAGTACAGGGATGACCAGAGACTGCGGACACAGTACAGGGATGACCAGAGACTGCGGACACAGTACAGGGATGACCAGAGACTGCGGACACAGTACAGGAGATGACCAGAGACTGCGGACACGGTACAGGGATGACCAGAGACTGCAGACACAGTACAGGGATGACCAGAGACTGCAGACATAGTACAGGGGATGACCAGAGACTGCAGACACAGTACAGGGATGACCAGAGACAGCAGACACAGTACAGGGATGACCAGAGACTGCGGACACAGTACAGGGATGACCAGAGACTGCAGACACAGTACAGGGATGACCAGAGACTGCGGACACAGTACAGGGATGACCAGAGACTGCGGACACAGTACAGGGATGACCAGAGACTGCAAACACAGTACAGGAGATGACCAGAGACTGCGGACAGTACAGGGGATGACCAGAGACTGCGGACAGTACAGGGATGACCAGAGACTGCGGACAGTACAGGGATGACCAGAGACTGCGGACAGTACAGGAGATGACCAGAGACTGCGGACACAGTACAGGGATGACCAGAGACTGCAGACACAGTACAGGGATGACCAGAGACTGCAGACACAGTACAGGGATGACCAGAGACTACAGACATAGTACAGGGGATGCCCAAACTGCAACCCAAAACCAACTTATTTCTTTCAAAGTGCCAACACTGCAATGAAACCTGAATATCGAGCTTTTGGTTTAGAAAAAACAACTCGTACAGTAGTGCAAACTAATTAACAGTACAGGGATGACCAGAGACTGCGGACAGTACAGGGATGACCAGAGACTGCGGACACAGTACAGGGATGACCAGAGACTGCAGACACAGTACAGGGATGACCAGAGACTGCAGACACAGTACAGGGATGACCAGAGACTGCAGACACAGTACAGGGATGACCAGAGACTGCGGACACAGTACAGGGATGACCAGAGACTGCGGACATAGTACAGGGATGACCAGAGACTGCGGACACAGTACAGGAGATGACCAGAGACTGCGGACATAGTACAGGAGATGACCAGAGACTGCGGACACGGTACAGGGATGACCAGAGACTGCAGACACAGTACAGGGATGACCAGAGACTGCAGACATAGTACAGGGGATGACCAGAGACTGCAGACACAGTACAGGGATGACCAGAGACAGCAGACACAGTACAGGGATGACCAGAGACTGCGGACACAGTACAGGGATGACCAGAGACTGCAGACACAGTACAGGGATGACCAGAGACTGCAGACACAGTACAGGGATGACCAGAGACTGCGGACACAGTACAGGGATGACCAGAGACTGCGGACACAGTACAGGGATGACCAGAGACTGCAGACACAGTACAGGAGATGACCAGAGACTGCGGACACAGTACAGGAGATGACCAGAGACTGCAGACACAGTACAGGAGATGACCAGAGACTGCGGACAGTACAGGGGATGACCAGAGACTGCGGACAGTACAGGGATGACCAGAGACTGCGGACAGTACAGGGATGACCAGAGACTGCGGACAGTACAGGAGATGACCAGAGACTGCGGAAAGCACAGGGATGACCAGAGACTGCGGACAGTACAGATGACTGCTGACCTTTGGGGAGGGAGGGGGAGCGGGTACCTGAATTTGACAGGTACCCGCTCTTACTTCCGCAGAGTTTTTTTTTTATCTTACCTGTTCCTTTATCCAGCCGCGCGCTGTCTTCCCGGCTTCTGTAGTGTGGGCGCTCGTCGGACAGCCGGATGCCCAGTGCGCATGCGCGAGAAGCGCTGCGCTTTGTGATTGGTCCGGCGGCTTCTGGGATCTGTCATGCGTCCCAGGTACCGCCTTACCATTCACAAAGAGCACTGCTTCTTGCGCATGCGCACTTGGGACCCGGCTGTCACGCACACTACAGAAGCCGGGAAAGACAGCGCGCCGCTGGATAGAGGGACAGGTATGGTCCCACTGCAGAGCTGAGCGGCCGGCCCGGTATTCTGACACGGCGGCGGCGGTGGAAATACCGGACCGGCCGCTCTATATTCGCTCCATAAGACGCACTGACATTTCCCCCCTTTTTTGGGGGAAAAAAAGTGCGTCTTATGGAGCGAAAAATACGGTATTCTCCTGGCGTGCCCACAGATAAGGCTCGGCGTGCCGGCTGTGGCACGCGTGCCATGGGTTCGCCATCACTGAGCTAGGGCATTATAAAGAATGTATCCTGCTTTTCACTTGCTAAAGAAGTGAGCAGTGGCCACTGACAGGCAGGTCCGAGCACCTTCCCAACCCAAAGCTGGTTTAAATGGGCCCCAAAGGCTTTGCAAATAGCATGTCAACTTCTATTAATAATGCTGGGGATTGAAGTGGTGGGAATTGTATTTAATGTGGAAGCCATGTGCGGGAGATATAAGCTGCTTATTCTAAGTAAATTTAAATGGTTCATATGTGACCAAACTGTATTTTTAAGCTACTGTCATGTCAGTATATAATTCTGAGTGTGTTTTCCTGCAATTTTTTTATTTTTTGGGAAATGCCTTACTGCATGATTTTATGTATGGAAAACAGAACAAATACACTGCCATTAGTAAACAGATCTGCTGTTATTAAAGTAAACTATGTTGAAATTCTGGACTTTCTAGAAGTCATTTAACATGAACCTGTAGGTGTACTTCCATTAAAGTAGCCCTATGGGTACTCAGAGCAGACATCTCCAGATGCCTGTAGGCATTTGTAGATTACATCCAGGGAACCCATGAGTTCTGAAATAAGGTGTGCTTTCTATGTTAAATGGTTGCACTCTGCTTTGCCGCCTTCAGCTTCTTGTTCCTCCCTATTAGTCATAAAATGCAATGGGTGATCTCACTAGTCATATAGAAAGCAAAGGGAAGAGAAAAGAAAAATCGTGACAATGCCAGGTATGATACCTATTTGCATATTATATCCCCTAAGGTTTTAAAGATTCAGTGGTATTTAGGAAGTAATATGTAGATGCCCTGCAGACATCTTCAGGTGCCTACTATAAAGATTGGGTTCATTATATCATGTAAAGTTAGCCTACGGTGTAATTTTAGCACACTTTAGAACTGCAATTACTTAACACAAATGTGTTTTTGAAATATTTTTATACTTAATACCAAAGTGTATGTGCCAAAATACTAGTAGCCTTGGCCCAAGTGGAGCAGATTGATGGGTTTTTTTGTTGAATGAGAAGGACATGAGTCTAAATTTGCATGCAAAATTTGATTTTCTTCTATTAGGTATGTGACTCAACTTACAACAGTGAAAACTATTTGTGTGAATGGGAAAATATCAGGTTTTATGTGTGTAGCTCTGCCCCCGAGAGGAGTCGCTGAATTGTTTTGTGATTTTTCTGTACACCTGAAAAATGACACATCTCGCTCACCCCGCACTTACCGAGACACAGAGTTTATTAGGCCAACATAGCCTAAAAGAAGAGAGGATTAGCAAGTATAATTACACAAACAATCAATACGACCATAACTATGCTCTGAGAGATAGGGTTAAACACCTGCAGTATTCTGACTAACAGTAATTAACAGATCTGATTTGCATTTACCCAGAAACAGTATATAAAGACAGTCCTAATTTGTTGTACCAGTGTCAGTTTTATCCCACTGGCCAGTGTTTGATGGAAAAAACATTGGCTGGCAAATTTGAGGCCCATGAAGAAAACAGTTCAACAGACAACAGATGAACTTGTACAATGCAAATCTCTTACCAGAACCAGGGCAGCCTCTTCTTGATCTCCAAACACATGCTCTTGTTTAGTTCAAGTCCTCAGACAGGAAATGTGTTGCTGTGATTTTCCTCTTTTAATTGTGCTGAGACAGTTCCTCCTTTGTTTTCATACAAGCAATGTGAGTGGTCTCTCTAGTAAAGTGTGATCACACACCTCCCAGGAAGACGTTTTCAAGTCTCTGAGGCAAGGTCCTGCACAATGAGCAATCTCTTTGCTTCCCTCAGGTCTCATCGATTGTGGTCAGCTATAGCAGGCTTCAGTTGAGTAAGTAGCCAAATCTTTTTCCAACATCCCGCTAGCCTTTTTTTTGACAGACATTGCCTCCTTTCCTGTCAGTTTATCTGCAGACATATTTTTCCTTCCTTTGTTACATAAGGCAATCACCTTCCTCCAGGATTGATACTGGCCCAGCCAAGGTGGCTTCTCCTCTGCACTGGAGACACTCCATAGACATGGTTGCCAATGCCTAATGACAAAACATGGAAGATTTACTGTAAAAGCACATTTTTTACTGACAACCTGAAACATGACAGAAACTCCTATGATAAGAAGGACATTCAATTTGCTTTTAAGGTAAAAATAACAAATGCACATATTTTTGCAGGTAAATTATGTGAATTTATTATTTTTCCAACAGGAGCCTGCAAAGCATTGCACCCGCAATCAATAGATCAATGGATTGCAGGTGCTATGTCAGGCTCCTGCAGATTTCCCGTACATCCCATACTTGTACAGTGTTTCATGTAGAAACTTGGAGGAAATGTTAATGTATTATGACTGCATTGATGCACAGAGTGCCACCTTACATCAGTCAATGTGCCCTGACTGGCTGGCGGGAATAGACTTTAAAAAATATCCACCTGTTACTGGCTCTGAATTGCACATGTGCAGTTCTGGAGGCAGCAAAAGGGTGACCTGCTAGACTCAGCCTCAGATTGGGTAGTGGGGCTTGTGGATAAAAGCCATGCCCGATGTGCATTGTGATGTCACCCCACAGACACACACCCAGACCCACCCTGCGGCCTGATCCGAGGCCAAGTTCGGCAGTTCACCCTTCGGCTGGCTCCAGAAATGCACATGTGGCAACAAGCAGATTAATAATGGCTACTTTCTTCCTGTCTATAGACATGGACAGTTGAAAAATGCCTGTTTTTTCAAACTGTCTGTCAGTTTATGGATGATTGGCAACACTCTCAATAGACAAGCATTGCACTGTGGTCTCCTTAAAGATGACTTCTGCAGTAATAAATATTTAGTTTAACCCTGTCCACACTGCAGAAGGATAATATAGAATCAGCAAAGGAACACGTTCTGTAGCAGTTATCAGCCATAGTCCAGGTTACATGTGCAGTGCAAGGCCTGCGCTAACTGGAAAAAAAAAACTCAATTGTTTTTACTTTTGAGTAAAAACAATACTAACGATATGATGATCTGCTTTGTATACTTTGGCGAAATGTGTTAGATTAGGTTAGGCTAGCTTCTATGATATAACCCTATCTAGCCATAATTTGTTTTAAATACAGTACAATTTATGGCTGTTTTATTTTATATTTCATGATTTGGTCTATACATTTATTGTCCTGGGGCTTCCTGTGGAACAGTGTTCCTTATTCAAACTATATTATGCCATATAGGCCCCAACGGGGCAAAGATCATTCTGTATCTCTAAGACTATAAATACAGTAATACAGAGGTTGTCCTATTTTCATCTCTGCATATTTAAGATAAATAAGAAAGTGCAGTGTGTGGATTACAATGCAAGGTAGCTCCTAGTTACTAAGACACAGGTGACCCCAGCTGTCTAGTGTTCTTGGTTGCAAGGATGCAGTTGGCTCCTGCCACCTAGCATCCTATAAAGACATAGGGTATAGCACTGTACCTCATAAATGGTAAAAATGCAATCAGTGTTCTATGTGGTAATAAACTTATTCCGTGCTATACAACACCTCCCCCGTCCCTATTCCCATGATGACGTGTGAATGTAAGTGGATATATACCTCTGGATATAACCCCTCCTTCCTATCAAACACCTTCCTACTACAAATTGAACAAGTGTATCACACTAGATTTCCAAACCGTGTGGAATGGAAAAGTGGATCTAAAAACCACCTCCCTCTCTTACAAATAATATAAAAATACAAAATGTGAAACATTTATGTAAACAATAGAGTGCATAAGTAGTACCTACGAAGCACCTAAGAAATGGTACTATAGTGCACCTTCCCTTGTTACACCATGCATATACAATAGAATATACCAACCAGTGCAATATGTACAATATAGGCAATAGAAATGCTACAAGCCACCTCCCCCCTTGGAAAATTAGGCCTCACAATATTCTCAGTGAACATAAAACTGTAGTGCACCTGCCCTATGGAAGGCTCTAATGAGAATAACCAATAAAGTGACATGAAATTCACAAGAGAAAATGTCCATATATCATTATATCAAAACAGTGTTATAGTCCATTAAACACATTTCATGCTCCAATGTGCTGTAGGTGATAATAAAAGAACTTGTGCTTCCACACGTGCACCCCCTTTGACACCACACTGAACGTAAAGTTAGATCCCTGTTCCCAGTTGGTCTAACACACTGTTGTAGCTCTCCAGGCCACTATGCAAGGACTGTGCTTGATCCCTGAATTCCAAACACACTGGTATTCCATAGACCGGGCCATGGGAAAAAAAATACAAAGCTTCCCTTATAACCCCAAAATATAAC